AATCACAAGACATGTTAGTGAGTCTACAGGAGTCCCAAGCTCTGAGAAAAAATGTGAACATGAGTTCTTCATGCCTTAGCTGAATGCTCTATATTTTAGATAGGCTGTGGTAATGCTATACATTTTTGTCTTCCCAAATTTGACTAGAAAAACTACCTCAGACCTTTAAAACCTTCCTGATTAGGTTAAAACTTAAAAGTCAAAAACAGTGGAATGCTTTTGTTTCACTGAAAAGTTCCCAAACACCTCCATTCACAATGATGTCTTGCTGTAAAGGCTCTGGACAGCAAAGATACCAACCATCTGCTTCCTCCTAGTAGAGTTATTCCTTTAGATTGACTTGGACAGGCCTACATCCTTATTGCAGAACTTTTAAACCCTATGCATGCTAAAATTTCTGTGCCCTTGTGCCTGTCACCCTGATGAGACAAGTAAGGACTATAGGGATTTCTGTATTGATATTTAATGCTTGAGAAGGGCATGAGGATATCACCCTAAAAGAACAAGAACCCAAGGTAATCCTGGGAAAGGGGCAGCCACTGTGTCCCCGTTATGACTCAATTCTCCTGGAACAAGTCACTCAACATACTGGAACAAATGATTAAACATCCCATTTATAAGCACCGAGAGGATAATAACAAAGTGAAGGAAAAATAAGCAATGTACTTTTGGCAAGCACATATCATGCTACCCCAGCCTCATTTCCCTTTTTTTTTTTTTTTTTTTTTAGGATATCTGGCAAAGCAGATAATGCAGGAGCTGTATGTGAGATTATGAGACATATCTTGACTTCAGAAGACCTGACAGTCTTCAACAAACTACAAGAATATGGTGGATGTTAAATCACCATCAGGATGCTTCAAAGAGCTGCAATCAACAAATCGTTATCCACCAGGGACGGAGGTTTCTGTGGGCTCCTACCACAGTCTGCTTTTGTGTCCAGATCTCTTGAATACTTTAATTAACACCTTCATGATGGAACAGAAAGAAGGCACCTGACTTTTGTCGATGACACCAAGTTGGGGGCAGTCGCAAGTGCTTTGGAGACCAGGATCATAAGTAAATTGAAGAAGCGGTCTCCATGGAGAAACCAACCAGATGGCATCCAGCAACAGCGAGCACAAAGCGCTGTGCTTAGGAAGGGGGGGAAAACAATTAATGTTCAAATACAGAAGTGGAGAGTGAGCTGCAGACTGTGCTGCAGACCAGTAAGAGAGGGTTAGAAAGCTACAGAGAGACTAAGTGAAAGTGATGAGGCACTCTCATAAAAAAAAAAAAAAAAGGTAAATCTCATTTCATTCTGGGGTTAGGTAAGTGAAGTGTGATATGGAAAACATGGCTGGTATTTGTATCTGCATGACTGAATCCTGAACTGGATGTCTTTTCTTGGGTTTGGACAGTAAATTTAAGAAAACGTAGATAAATCAAACAGTAGTGAAATATGTATGACACAAAGATTGGAAAACAGGACTTGTGAGAAACAGTGAGCCTGTTAAGCTGGACTAGAGGAATCTGAGACACAGGAATTAATGGGTTTCAGGCAGATAAAAGGCAGTTCTGTGGAAGGGGAGGAGAAATAACCAGCACATATCTTGGAAGGACCGGAAATAATTGGCAGCAAAATCAATTTGAATCATATATTACTAAAGGCTTTCCAAATGCAAGCAGAGTGAATAATGAACATGCACCAGCTATGCAGGCATAAGGTGCCTTCAAAAAAATACATGTTAGGGGCAACTACTGTAGAGCTGGTCTTGTCTCACTGCATGGGGAGGAACCAGACTATCTTTTGCAGGTCCTTCCCAGTGTTTACTCTTCTTATCAGTAACCAACAGAAATATCTGGGGTAGGAAACAGAAAGATTCGCCAGTGGCCATTACACTCCAATTGAAGCAGGACAAAATGCTTTGAGTGAGGTGGTGGTTCAGAGCATTCTCTTTATGCATGCACTCCAGTGCAGAGAGTGCAGCACCAGCATCTGGTAAAAGCTGAGCTGCGCAGACACAGCTCCCTCCAGTCCCATCCACCCTGCAAGCAGTGGTGCCCACCTGCATCAGAAAGACTAAGAGATGGCCACAGTTGCACTGATGAATCTTTTGGCAGTGAATGCCTACTTCTACCAGCAGAGATGGCTTTATGTTTGAAAAGCACAAAAGACCAATGAAGAAAACTTTTTCTACTTTTAGCTGTCCATGAAGTTCTGATATTTTTTTTTCTCAAGTGCTGTTTAATTATGTCCTTTTAGACATCCACAATATGTCCCAGTTGAGAAGGCTACTACCACTGAATATAAACACTGAAGAGAGGAAAGGAGCAGACTGGGTAGGCTTTTATGTAGAGACTGGTGCTGGCTGACAAACTAGAACTGGCTCTTCCCTTGGAAATACTGAAGGGCACAGGCACACACATTACAGAGGTGATGTCCCCCTTTCTGTGATATACTTCTGCATCTTTGGCCAGCAGAGGTTACCAACCAGAGCTCACCCTGCAGAAAGCTGATTTTCTCAAGGAAGGAAAGGACCTTCTCCTAGAAGGCAACTTCAATGATCTAAATGCAGTGTGTCCTCAGGATACACCAAAGCTCATCTATTTCAGCTGGCATTGTGGACATGGGGTGGTCTCTAGTTAAAAGGGCTCCAAGAGCAACTGTCATTGCAGGATCTTTCACTGGCAGATCCAGGCATCAACCATGCACACAAAACCAGCAAGGTGTCTCTCACCCTGGCTTGTTTCTGTTTCCCTGGGTTTGTTTGAAGGGAATCACTGACCATCATTCCAGAAATTCTCTTAGCAGATTAGCAGGCAGATCAGTTGAGCACCCTATCATGTAATGTTTCCAGAGCTGTATTTTCTTTTTTAAATTATTTTTACATTTGGGATGCCCAGAGCTTTATATAGCCTATGTTTTGAAATTTATGAACACAAAATCACAAGAAGTAAATAAACTACATTAAATAAATAACAAGCTTAGCATGGCTCAACATCCAAACTCCTTTAATTTGTACTAGCAGCAGACTATTTTTCAGGCAGACAACCTGCAAATCTGAGAAAAATAGCAATCAATATGACCATATGATACTCAGAGATAAAAGGGATTATTTTCTAACATACATTTATTTTCTAATAAATTAGTTTTATTAGTTAAGATTATTTTTAAAACATGGTTTAAAGTGAGACTAACTCTTCCAAATTGTAAAGGATTTTTTATTTATATTTTGCTTGGGGTTTTTTCCCAGATGAAATTTAGTTTTAGAAAAGTTAAAGCTATGAATTTCACCTAATTACAGGATTACAGTAAGCACGATATCGCAATGGGTCTTTGGCTAAATCTGTAGCAGATATTAGAAGATTACCCACAGATAGCTTGTTTACAGGCACCCAGACTTCAGGTGTGTCAAAACTTAAATTTTCTCGTTCTCAGAAAGGTGGCAGTAGTTCAGAGCCGGATACCTATATATTTAGGTGAAAGCTAAGCTAGAGAACTCAATTTTGCTGCTTAGGCCCATACCTAATAGGCACAAATAAAATTAATAATACATGTGCATGGCTCTAAAATTCATTTATCCCTATATTTTTCTTGACAGGTAAATGGAAATTGTGTGCTGCAAGATTTTACCAGCAATAAACCACCTCCAGACGGTTAGCTATGCACTACTACTGCGAGCAGCGAGGCAGGGTACAGCTCCAGGGCTGCTGAGTGCATTTCACGCCAGGAACACCCCAGCAAACACTCAGCCAGGCCAGGAGGGCTGCTCTGCGTGCTGGTGTGTGCCACTCTTCGCGCTGCTGGGGGAGGGTTTTGGGCAAGACAAACTAGGAGCTGTCTGTCTCACTACACTTGTGTGTAAAGCATCACCTCTGACCGTATGTCTGGACTTCTTCACCTTGCATATAAACAATTGGTAAGCTGGTTAGGCCCTCCCTCCCCCCAGTTTGCCAAGTAGTACCAGCAAGAGGAAAAGGCCCTTCGTGCATTCATTTGTATCCAGAGCAATTAAAAAAACTTGCTGAGAGGAATAAAATCTACAGGGTTACTAGAGAAATCAGGAGAAATAACAAATCCCAGCCTGAAAGATAATGTAGAAATCCAACATATCTATAATATGTATCAAATGCATTTACACATACCAATCACCTAAGCTTCTCTATAAATATTTTAGATAAATGGGCAGATAGACACAATGGCATGAAAATCAAAAGAAAAACAAAACAAAACTGAGTAAACTCACTTGTTTGGTATTCTAGTCAGGACAGGATGGAACAAGTAAACTCACTAATGCCCTTACCAGTAATTGGTGAACCCTGTAATGTGTTTACTGTCTGTTATACCATAAATGCAAGCAGACAGATAGGACAGTGCTAGTTTGCCAAGTTTCCAATTCCCTACAACACACACAGGAGGAGGGCAGCTAAAAAAGGAGAGGGCAACATAAGGTACATGGCAGCTATCTCAGGTACCAGGTTTCACACATGCCTACTGACAGCACATCCTGCAAACCAATGACCCAGCACAGAAAAACACCCAGGAAAATTAATTCCCCAGCCTTGCAAAGAGTTGACAATGGAAGGCCAACAAACACAGCACAGTAGCTTGTTGACACAAGGAGAAATAAAGGAAACCTGAGGAAGGAGGAGGAGAAGAAACTAGAGGGCTGTCTGGGAAGAGATGAGGCAAGCACAATGTTCTGACAAGTGTCATTATGAACAAATGCTTTCCTCTCAGTGCCAAAACAACCAGAGCAAGGAGCCAGGTTTGCATTATACTAGAATATGTCTTGGCATCACTGGTGTCCCCTGTTCTGTCACCACTCTTAAAAGGACAGACTGACAGCAGAGTAAAGCCATGCTGTGCTGCAGTGGAGGGGAACAGTCCTGCTGGCTCCTATTGTAAATATTAGGGATACACAGGCTAGTAACTGGAGTTTCTCTAAGAAAGATACAGATCTCCCCCACTCACTGTGTATTTTGCTCTTTGCTTTCATAAAAGGCCTGTAGCTTACCTTGCACGATCAAGTAAACCTGGGCAGTCTTGGGGTGATGCTGTGTTTGCACTGAACACGTATAGGACCCCTCATCATAGACATCCACTTTCTGGATCCGCAGGCTGTATTCCAGGGGGTTTCTCTTCTCCAGCTCTACTCGAGGGTCCAGGGACCACTTGTCCTCTCCAGCAAAAATGATGCCAGAACGGTTTAACCAGGCCACCTTGGAGCTTCTGTCTTCTACATAACACCTGCAGAGGATGAGAAAGGTGAGGGGGAGATCAACAACCCTTTCCATAATATCCTTTTCGTCCCTTCCCTTTACTACTTTTATTAGAAATTTCATAGCACATTTCTGCCTTGCCAGTGAATCACACCATCTTCTCATCATTGTTGTCCTGTGGACATGTATTTCACAGTGATTTTTGAAGGGTTTCAGGAACTTTCGGTTAATGAAACCATGGGATTTGGGGTGGCCATGTCTCCTGTTCTCTCTTCTTTACATTTGCACCAAAAGTTACATAGGAAGGCCAGAAGAGGTCCCGATCACCAAATCCCTTCTAACCCTGACAATGAGAAAGGTCAGAAGTACTTCTTCCTGTGCTTCTCCCTCACCTTCAAAAGTTGAGTATACAGGAGAGTTACACTCCCAGACCTTTTCCAGCCTGCAGGGCAAAGGTTCAGGGCTCCAGCTTTGTCAGCTTAGGGCACAGCTCCTCCATCCCTCAGTTTCAACAGCACAAGGTGAGGGAACTACAGGATATCTCCCTTCTACATCCCTCTGACCAAAAATAGCTTCGCGGAAAGAGCTGCTCAAACATCCCCCTCCATACACATACACACACGCACACCCTTGTTGATGCACATCTGCCTGCTTGTGTGGGCAAGTGCAGATTTCAGGCTGAAAAGGAGAGGCTGCAAGGATGTCACTGGCATCCCTATGAGACATGCAGCATGTCCTCTGAACATCTCAGGCGGACAGGAGAGGAGGAATGGCAAGCAGAGGAGCAGCAGGAGGAGCAGGAACTGCCATGGCCCCAATTGCCAACCACTGCAAGGCAGAGGACAGACTAACCCTGTTGCAACTGCATGACAAGTATTTTGTTTCTTGACAAAGCAGACAAGGTACCGGGAAGACAAATACACTTTTGGCAAAGGCACCTTCTCTGCACCACTTCCCACCACCAGGAGACTTGCACAGAAGAGATCAGGAAATGCCAATGACAAGACAGGTCCTGCTCACTATCAGTGTCTTATTCAAGAGGACTAGGGCTGAAGAAAACACAGAGACATAACTCCTCTTTCATCCTGGCAGCTGTACCCACCAGGATGGGCCCAGACAGATTGAGAGGGTTTGCCCTGCAGCAGCTCACACCACATTTGCTTTGCGGATAAATGGGGAAGCTCAGTCTCCAGAGGTGTTGCTCCTTCACCTCTGAAAGCTCTGCCCTCAGTGTCACAGCATCCAAATAAGCCAGCACCTTTCCCCACCACTGCTACAAAATCACAGAATGGGTAAGATTGGAAAGGACCACAGTGAAGTCATCTGGTCAAACGTCCCTGCTTAAGCAGAGTCTTCTAGATCTCATTGCACAGGATTGTGTCCTATTCCCTATTCATGCATGTGTTGTATTTGAGAGAGAAAAGAGAGAGGATAAAGATTATTGCTTCAAGATAAGACAAATATTTGACAGTAGGCTTTCATACATCCTTTTAGCATGGGTCAGACATTTTCAAAGTTCCTTTATTTGAATGCATTTCATTCACGCTGTGCTGCAGCTGCCGTCCCTTGTGATGTGACCCTACCATTATGGCCAGCACCTCTCACCCACTCCCTTTTGGCATGCCCATGGATGCTGTCCAAGTTGTTCTGGGGTTACTTGTGGGCAGGAGGAAAGCCAAGCTGTGTGGGCATTGATGAGAGGCTCACCACAGTGTGGCCAAGCTGTAAGCAGCTCTGTCTGATCCAACAAACATTTGCTTTAGAGAGCAGCCCAACAGATCCTGTCCCTTACTACCTCCGTCCAGCCAAGGGCAGGGAAAAGGTTTGGCTCTCAGGCAGGAGCCCACCCTCAGGGTCAGGCAAGCACTTGCCCCTGAGGCGAGCTCTCAGTTGTTTTTAAAAAGCTGCTCTTTGTCAAATAGAAAGAGGCAGGAGGAATCCATGAGCAGCCACTTAAACGTAGAAACCAGTACCACTACAAGGGGCATGGCTCCAGTTGCACTAGCTGTCCCAGGCTGTAATCAGCATTGACAGGGAGTAGTAGCCCTGTAGGAACACCCAGACTGCCTCCAGCGCTGGCTGTCTCAGGGTCACAGGCCCTCATGCACATGTGTTTCTGTGTAGAGTTGTAACAGCGCCAAGAATCAGGAGTTTTGGAGGTCTTTTGGTGGTGAAAAGCTAAGGAGTTTAAAAGCTGAAGTCAGTGGTAGCTGAAGTTTCTCAGTCACTTCCGAAAATCCTCCAGAACACCTGCATGTACTGCTGAGCTCCAGCAGATCCAGGGCACTGCACCAGCCCCACAAGGCTGCTTTCCAAACCTATAGTGCAACACTCCATGGCTCTGTCCTGCATCTAGTCATTATAAAACTCTCTTTGGAGGCAGCAAAGATGCCCCCATGACGTGCCTCTTGTCTGCAACAGCTCAGTGCTATGGTCAGAGCAAAGCCTTGCCTCTTGCTCCTGAGGATATGCTCACCTGGGGACCCTCCCTCCTCTCTGTTGAAGAGAAAACATGTTATTACCTGTCCTTCACCCATCGGGGTCAGCCCTAGACGGTGGTCAACAGCTATAGTAAGAAAACCTTGCAAACGCCCTAAATAAGTTAGCAGGTACTACCAAAATAAAGAAAGGAGGGGAGGGCAGAAAGAAAGGAGGAAAATGGGAAACATAAGTGAAGTGGATTTGAGCTCTCTGCTCACCGTACATGTTCTTCTCAAACTGTCAGGGAAAATCAAAGTACAAATGTGAAAATTCCCAGACATGCTCTGAACATGCATCGATGTGGATGATGCATCTCAGTACGTCTGTCTGCACCCATGCACCTTCTTAGTCTGCCAGAGATGCCACCCAGCTGTATGGATCACAATTTAATAAGGATTTATGGTGATGATTTTCACAGTGTAATAAGTGCTAATTCAATACTAATAGAATATTAAATGGCATGTTAACTGACACTTTAACTGCAAAGCAATAGGAGCATGGCATCAGCAAGATATCAAATGACTCTTATCGTTCACTAATAATCAATAATCAAGTTCACAGAGACAGTCAAACGCTTCTCATTAGGCTTATTGAAAGCATTACCATCAGCATCAGTGAAAGCTAATAAACGATTTGTGATCCATTAATTTTGCTTGTCCTTACAGTTTCAGGTTTAATTTCTTGACATCTCTGAGGTGGCTAACAAGAGGGCCAGTGAGTGGTGATGGTCATGCCTTGCACGATCACTGCAGGGACTTGGGAACTATTGATATTGCACCAATTCGAACCAGAGACGCCAAAGGACAAAAAACCTTGCTGCCGTGACCCATTAGCCCTCCTTGCCCTCTCGTAAACAAACATAGCTAAGTATGACACCTGAAGTTTTTTAGTGACAGCACCATTTTTGGTTGCTACAGATGCATTTCCAGTTCTCATACAGTGGTTAACAACTGCATAACAACCAGCCAGGAGAGGATGGTTGGAAATTGAACATGGAGAAAGGAAGCCAGGTAATCCTCAGTTTCCCCACATGCAAATGAAGACAGCGGGGCTGAGCCATGCCTCAGGAGGGAGAGGAGGGGGTGATGCTTTTGTTGCAGGGGAATGCTTTTGGACCTTCAGTAGGAACCATTGCCTTGAATGGGATGGAGGGCTGCCCACTATCATTCCTGGTCCCTGGATTTCAGAATGGGACAGGACATCTGGCAGGGGGATGGGCAGGAACCAGGAGTAGTCCCTGCTGCTTGTCCTCACTTCTCCCACGTCTGCCAGTCTAATGCACAGCTCTGGGCCAACGCAGCACTCCTGCAAACCTGCCTTCGTAGGCTCCAAAGAAAACTCCATCTGGATAGAAAAGATGTCTTTTTTTTCCTCCTTCTTGGAAGTATTACATTACATTACGCCTATTGATAGGTGGGAAAGCGAGCAAAGAAAAGGAGGGTGAGGCTCAGGCATCCACATCTCCTCTCCTGCCGAACACCAAGGCTGGAGGTTTCACCACCCGTTCTGTTTCACTCGGGTCTTGGTGCTTGAATCCCAGCCCCCGTGACTGCTGCTCCTCCTCCCGTCGAGGCACCACCGCTCAGCGCATTGATTTCCCAGCATGTTGCTGTAACACTCATCGCAGTTTATGTTGTGCCTGTCACTCCAGCAGCTCTCGGCCCTAAGCTTTCCGCCCTCTCTCTCCTCTGGTGAACAGACTGGCACGCTGCTGAGAGGCGGCATTTGGTTGGAAAGCCCTTGCATGGGTTCCCCAGGCTGGCTGCACCATTGCCAGGGTGGGGGCTGCAAGGGGTGAGGAGAAGGAGGAGGAAGATGCATGAGAATTGGGGTCTCAGCAACATTTTTCCCATTATGCCTCAGAGAGAAAAGAACTGCAGCTATGGCCCTAGCCTATGGAGACGGAGCAGGGGTATTTCATTTCCTTGTGAAGGAGAGGATGATATTTAGAGCCTACAGTGATGAAGAGGCAGGAAGGAAGCCCTTTAGGACCTGGCGAAGCTGCTGTTTAAATTATTACTGTAACATGATAGGGGTTTTACAGCATTATCAGTGATGTATTGTGTCGTCTTGAACCTGGGATAATTGTCTGGGGTTTTTTAATTGTTGCTGTAACTCTAAATAATTTTTTTTTTTTTTTTTTACAGTAGACCCAATTCCACAGTTCTCTACCAGAGCCCCACTAGTGAGCAGAGGCAAGCCTCTAGGAATAATGAAATATGGTGTGCTGAAGCAAGCCACAGCTCTTACCTCATTTCCGGGAAAAATAAATAAATAGTGGGTTTAGAGACTGTTTTCTGCCCTCTTTCTCAAAAGCATGTTGTGGTGACAGCTCGGTGCCATAATTCCCTGCACTCCTCTTTAATCATCTTTTCTCTGTTAACCCTTTGATCTCTTCTTCAAGACAAACTCTGTGCAGAAGGCCCAAACTCAGCAGTCTGCTGCACGCACAATTAAGCACCCAAAACCCGCCCCATTGCACTCACTGAGGGACATGACCCCCTTCTGCCAGAGGATGTCACAACCCGCCCTGCATCAGATATCCTG